TGCTGTCCTTTAAATACAAAATACAATTTTTACAACCTTGTTTAGCACTCCTGTCTTTTTTATCATTATCTTATTATACCAAGACATTAAAAACAGTATAAGTGGCCTGGGCATCTCAAGGCCTGAGCAGCGCCTTCTGCTAATGTTCATGTCCTTATAATGGTGTGGTGCGAAGACAAGAGGTGGTGGAGTCTCACTGATGAGTTTGTTTCCAAGAGAAGGGGCAAGAAGAATTAAGGAATGTCTCCCCTGTAAAATTAGTTCGAAAGTCCAAGTAAACCTTTTGCACATTACTAGATCCTCCTTGGATGGGCTGTGTTGCACAGATGGAAAGAAGTGTTAAAAGAGAACCGTTTTGGAATATGGGTGTGATCAGGAGAAATATGCCTGTATGAGCCAGGAAATCTCCTTCAGACCCACTTTAATCTAAACATGTGCAGATTTAAAAAGGGCTTTTCAATTAATCCTGGGAAGAGAAGAAATGAAACTATCCTCATTGCCTTTGCAATACCAGTTGCCACTGGTGTGTTTCAGAATAGATCTGAGCAATCTCTAGGCTGCCTTCTGAAACATCTTTGAGGTGGTTCAAACGGCCTAAATCGACAAAACTGCCCTACAACTAAATGGAATGTCCTTAAATAGCCAAAGAATGTGCCGATCAAGTGGCAGATAGGATAGGCACCAAGGCGATGTCCATTTAGGAACTACAGAAGATACCTAAGTCAATGGATAAGTTCTCCAGGCCCTCCTGTGGTGGCGCACGGCCTGATGCTCACCAGGCAACTTTCTCTCATGACCCAGCTTCCCAGGCAGACCTACGTTCTGAGAGAAATTAGGGTCACAGAATGAAATCCAGTCCATTCTAAACTAGCATTACATGGCATAACGTGGCATTCTGATTTTATGCCTCAATCTCGTGAATCTGGCTAATGTTTTTCCTAAGAGTCATTGAAGATTCAATCATTCCTCCTTTCCTTCGGCCTCTTACCTTCAATCCATAAGCAACTCCAATCAGTTCTCCAGATACCTGTCTTTAACCCACCCTTTTCTCTCCTAACATCATCCTTACGCAAACAACCTGCCTAGTCTCTCTTGGATCCTGCAATGACTTTTCAACAGGTCCTCTGACTTGGCCTACCTCCAACAATCACATTTCAGACCACTTAAAACACACCCTAAGTTTCCCATCATAAGATGCCTCGTGACCTTTTCAGTCCTCCTTCAGGCTGTCCACATCCCCCTTGTCTGCTCTTCTCCAACGCTTTCCCATTTCAGCCTCTCTCCACACCTGGTCCTACTCACTGTCTGCAGCTCTCTCCATACTCGCTCTTTCCTATCCTTTAGAGCCCGGCTTAAACATCACCTACACAAAGAGGTCTTTCCATCCCACATTACAGATTGTTAGCGCCATTATTTCCTATCCGGATGGCTGCTTCAACACAGTTTGTAATCATTTCCACTGTTTATGTTATTGTCCCCCTAGCTAGCATGTAAGCTCCTTGAGGATAGGAACCTTCACTGATGTGGTAACTGGTGTGTTTCCAGAGCCAAAGCACAGTGCATGAATCTGATAGCTGTCATTGGTTTTATTTTTCCAATCCAGTATCCACTCCCTTCTATGAGGAGCTGATTTCATGCAGTTGGAGGCGGCTAATTCTGCTCCTACCCACTTTCCCTCCCCAGGTCTGAGCAATGTGGCACAGGGATTGTTCCGGAGATGAACACAGAGCCTATCTGCTCCTCCCTCAGATTAGCTGCTTGGCTGCTGAAAGACAGAGAGCCTATTTTGCTCGAGGATCATGTTAAGAAAGTGAAAGTGTAAGGCTGTCAGCAACCATCCTATTAGCTCTGAGGAGGAATATGAGAATGAAACTAAACCAAGGTTAGCCAAGAGATAGACAGCCTCTTTAACTTTGAGCCGAGTCCACCCTTGTCCAGATTTCTCAGTATGTACAATGAGCCTAAAAAGAAAGATCCTCTTTGAGGGGGACATGGAAATTTGAGTTGTTTCCATCGTTTTCAACAGAAAGAGTTCTGGTAAGACAAGAACATAGTTGGCACTCTTTAAGTGTTTACTGAATATATACATGAAAAGGTGGGTCCGTTTTTAGTATGTTGACCAAGTCTGTAGTTACTGAGCCTGGCAGGCTGGCAACAGACTCCACATGGCGGTAAAGTATCTGAAGTACTGAATGCCACCCCCATGGGGCCTCTCAGGAAGACTGCCAGGCCAGCAGCCACTTGAACAACATTCCGACCTGTGTTGGCAGATTGCCCTTTCCATTAGAAGTTCCTGTAACATGTACCTCACTCGCCAGACTGAGAGAGCTACATGTCAAGTCCAGGGTCCCTGGTTCATTCATTCCTAGCAAGCAGCAAAGACTGGTACGTTGGCACTCAGTAACTGTTCCCTGAAGGGGAAACCACAGCCAGGACACTTGTGGGCAAAATACAGAATCTAAAAGAGGAATGTGAGAAGCCCAAGGCTGAACAAGGAAGAACAAAGATCCCTTTCCTCCTCCTGGAAGCGTTGGGAATCGTCTTTCAAGCTGACAAGCAGGAAGAGAAAGCACATAGAACCGGAATTTAGGGTTGGAAATAGTCGGCATCGGAACTGCTCTTTTCACTGACAGTAGACTTAGTGAGACACAGGACCATGAAGTGATCTGTCCGGTGGGGCTGAGAGGGGTGGTGTTTGGGGCAGAATCCCACATTTGTGACAATTTTGAACCATTGGGTGATCCAGCCACCAAATGTCAGATACAAGGTCTGACAGTGGACAGCAGAGCTGCTGCTGTGATATGATACCTTTAAACATTATCCTGTAGCATTGACTGAGAAAGCTAGAGACCTTCAAGGTACCCCCTCCTGTCATGCCTCCTCTTAGAAGATGGTCATCATTTTGCATAGACATGTGCTTGGGAGTTAGGTGCTATCGAACCAGTTCTGACCCATAGAGACCTGATGTATAATAGAGCGAAAGCCTGCCTGGTCCTGTGCCACCCTCACAATTATTCTTGTTTGAGCCCATTGATGCAGCCGGTGTCAATCCATCTCGTGGAAGGCTTTCCTCTTTTCAATACCATGCTACTTTCCAAGCATAATGTGCTTCGCCAGGGACTAGTCCCTCCTAACACTATGTCTAAAGTACATGAGACGAAGTCTCTCCATATGTGAATAATTCTTTGGGAAAGGGTTAGAACAATGCTTAAGTTCAATCCGTACATCCTATTTTAACCTACAACTCAAAAGAGTTACTAACATTGGGAAGGGCTGACAGCCTTCACTCTATCTTGGTTCTTTATTTTGCCAGATTCCAAATTTTAAGGGGAAATTTTACAGAAAAAAAAAATTTTCTCTACTAATAGTTTTTTTTAATTTATTGAAGGCAAGGCACTAGGTTGAACCATTGGGTTTACAGTGTCTCTAAGTAACTGGCTGGTTCAAAAGTCCTTGGGTGGTTCAATGGTAACTCGTTGGAGGAGCAGAGTCCTAGGGGCAGTTCTAGTCTCTCACACAGCGTGACAATGAGTCAGAATTGACTCGATGGCAGTGGGTTTGGCTTTTTGGTTTGGGTGGTTTAAATGGTCCAAGTACATGGCTGCTAACCAAAAGCTTGCAGGTCTGAGAGCCTCCAGAATCTTGAAGGAAAGCCGGGCAATCGAGTCCTGAAAACTCGACCACTGCACACCCTGTAAAGCACACTTTTAAAGTAGTTTTATTATTTTGTTCAAGTTAGTCCAAGAAAAAAAAGTTCTCTCAATATAAAAGTAAAGATGTCAACAACTTAAAAACCGCACCCCCATAATGTTCTCATCTAGTATAAGGATAAGCTAGAAGTCTCGTACGAAATCATAGAAGGCTTTATTAAGTAAATATCAAAATGAAAAAAAAAGTAAAGATCAAAATGTGACATTTCTCGACATATCTTCCATCAGGTCTATCCACTTCTAAAGGCCACATTTCCATCTTTTCTAACCCTTTCCCCCAAAGAATTCTGCAATTACTAATTTACACCACATCAAAACAGCAAGTTTGGCATCTTCCAGGGACTCAAATCCAGTTCCTTTTAAATGTTGGGTTTGGAGGAACACAAAGCTGTCTGAAGAGGCAAGATTAGGGCTGTGAATGGATGAGGTAAGGTTCTCCAGTGACATTTTTGTGGGATGCCTCTCAGAGAATGAGCTAGCCCTGCACAAAGAGCAGATGCACTGTTGTGATGGAGAAAACGCCTCAGGGCAACTTTCCTGGCCTTTTCTGACCAATGAAAACGTGTTCAGAATAAGCCCCTGCAATTATCCTATGATCTTTGAGACAATCTACCAACACTATTCCTTGGGAATCCCCCCAAATATCTACCATTATATTCTGAAATGACTTCTCTTGTTTACATCTAACTGACCCAGAAGATCCTCTCAGGACCACTGTTCTGATTGGACTTACGTATTTTAGAATGTACCCTAACGAGACTAAGACAAGTGTATTAGAGAGAGAACTTGTTTGCAGCTATTCACTGATGACTTAAAAATAGTAATCAACTCATGCATGTAAACTGTAGCAATGCTTTTTGACCTACCATTGTTGAACATGTCTTCAAAAAGCCCGTTTTCCTAAACCTTTCTGAATGTTAACATATATTCTGCATGACTTTTGTAGTACTTTCTTTTTATCATTGCTCTATACTGATTACTTCTTTTCCTGCTGTGTGAAACACTCACTTAGGTGGTAAGAAAAAGCTTATTAAAATATATAAGCTTCATACTATTTAAAAACCACCAGGGTTATTAAAGCTTGCTAATATTCATTTTAATTCTGTTAAAAACAGAAGCCTCTCAAAATACAGTGTCTTGCAAATATTCGAAACCTAAACCCATGCTCTCAATAAATTAACAGTATCTTTGTATACTTATCTATGCCGTGCATTGAGAAAATAGGAAATGGCTTATTTTTTATTTGGAAGTGAATACCCTTGGCTTCTAGCCTAACACTCAACACTCCTACTGGCACGTGGGCCGTGAGCTGTGCAGCAGGCAAGCCCTGGTCACTGCACATCTGCAGCCAGGTGTGCGATCAGGTCTTTGGCATCTTGCATGATGGATGGTATCTCTGAACCATTTTCAGTCACCTGGGTTCCAAACAAGAACATCTTCCTGTCATTTCCCACCTCCGATAATGCCAACGCATCATGGATATCTGTGATGCGATACGCTTCTTCAAGATCCTTAACCCGGAACGGAAAAGAATAGAAAAGTTGGTTATTTTGCAGTCCTTTCGAATTTCTTTATTGTTCTCAAAGACCCCATCATGTGAAACAGAGAGCATGGTGACTTCACTAACACGGCCCTGGAGGTTGTTTAACTATAAACACTTCCATTAGAACGACGCGAGCATTGATGAATTATACTCAAAAAAACTTTCTGGAATGTTGAAGTGTCAAGTGTTATCTTATATGTAGTAAGACATCGTACAACAGCAAAAAAAAAAATTATTTTCTGGGATCAAGCCAAGCGAATATATCGACACTCCTTGATCTCCTCCCAACCCCAAGAGTAATTTGATCAATTCCTTTCTGAAAAAAAAATATTTAAATCTGAAGCAGTATACTTTCTTTGAGCATGATTCATTTCTCTTTTCTTTTATCAATTCTTTTTCATTCATACAAGGAGGCTTTCAAAAGTTTGTGGGGTGAAATTGAATGAAAAGATAGTGGGTTTTTTTCCTACCAACTTTTTGAAGCCCCCTCATATCAAAAGAAATTTGATTTCTTAGTCATTATTTTGTCCATATCACATTTTAGTGATTCCAGAATTTACCAGTATGAGTTCCCATGTGTGCCCATTTATTCTACTGAAAAAACAATACTTTTGATTTAATTGGGGAGGGGGGAACCACAGAGGGGGGAACCACAGAGGGGAGGACACAGAGACAGAGCGCTAAAGCAAGCAGGGGTGGTGGAAGGGGAGAGGCAGCGAGGAGAGACAGAAGAGAAAAAGATGAGACTCAGAGATGGAAGAAGCTTTGAGCTGAGAGAAACCCCACAGGGAAGACAGAGAGGTGGTGGATGCTAGTTGGCTTTGAGTAGATTCTGACGTAAGCACTCAACTACTAGCTGAAAGGTTAGCTGTTCGAACCCATCCAGGGGTGCCCAGGAAGACAGACCAGGCGAACTGCTTCCCAAAGGTTACTGTCTTGTAAAACTCATTGTACAATTCTACTTTGACAGAGGGAGTCATCATGAGGCAGAGAAGGCAAAAGTTCATATTGGAGAAAGGAAGCTTGTTCTTATGCCAAGATCCAATCCTTTAGGTCAAAGTGACAAGGTCAAAGTATAATTCTTTGCCTCTTCTAATGTCTATTTTCATTTTTGGAGGAAACACAATGCTGTTTCCCACAATGGCTGTACCATTTTGTATTCCCACCAGCAATGATTAAAAGTTCCAATTTCCCCACATCACCAACATTGGTTAAATTATAAGCTATTAAATTTTTATAGTTACTATTTTTATCTTACCCACTCTAGTGGGAGTGAAATGGTATCTTTTTGTGGTATTGATTTCTTAAAGGATTTTATGGTTTTAGTTTGTGGGAGTCCTGGTGGTATAGTGATTACACGGTGGGCTGTGATCCACAAGACTAGCAGTTCAACATCACCAACTGCTCTGCCGAAGAGAGACAAAGCTTTTTACTCCTGTAAACAGTCTCAGAAACTCACAGGGGCCGTTCTACTCTGTCCTATAGGGTTGCTATGAGTCAGCATTGATTCAATGGCAGTTGAGTTAGTTAATTGTGCCAGCCTGCCGATAATCATATGTGGGGCTGATTGAAAGGTGGAGGGATAAATGGGTGATGAGCCTCGCCTTTCTAGTTCTCGGGTCTCTTGTTTTGTGATGGTTGCACCGGGTGGAGCTGCCTTAGCAGT